CTTCAAACCAATTATTGCTATAGAATGTGGGGGAGGCAGAGCTCATAAATGACTCTGATTATAAGCATGATTTTGTGTTTCATAAAAAAGCCATTATTACCTTCTTTATAGTTAACTAGTCAACAGTGTGGCATAAAAATTAAATATTCAGTTCATATTGTATGTCATAAGAAACTCTATCTTCATTAGCAAATCTATTAATAAAACTGGAATTATGGCCAATTTAACTGCCCCAGCTTCCAATGACTGTATAAGGGGAGAGCTGTAATTAAACTCAGGTTTCTCTGATACCACAGCAAACACAGGACAAATGCATGTTTGACTAGGAAGAGTTAGATACAAGATCCCAGAGCAGTGGAAATAAATGGGATGAGAATGTCTTTTCAGTGGATTGTGCTGCGCTGTGTGCTGCACCTGCCGCTAACCACAGTGCACGTCGGCGCGCTTCCCTCACCCTCTGCGTGCCGGTATCTCCAGGAAGGTTGTGTTTGTCAGTTTCTTCTTCGCATAATAAAACGCGAGAACAGTTACGGTTTTCCTGCCTTGTTCGGGACACTGAGGATCCTATTTCTCAGAAATGGACAAGGTTGAAACCCTACACCTGTCTTCACAAAAGAATTGTCAAGTCTTCACGTATCACTTTTTCTCATTTACAAAAGTCTCCCGGTAAAAGGGTCCATAGATGATGATGCAGTTTTCTTTCTTAGTAATTCTGATGGTATTGTTGTTGCAGGATTTTTTTCCACCCTGGAGCTTCCCTTCACCCAAGAAGTGGAGGGAAGTTGCTTTAATGGACTTCTTTGGCATATCGGACAGACCTGAGCCATCCTCTGAAACCTTAGCTGTGCTGTATGGGTCAGCTTGGAAAAGGCCACGCTGTGTGGTCGTGCCCATCTGTTTCCCTTTCTTCATGACAAGGGTGACAAAGTGGGAATTCACTGATACGCTCTAGCTGAGTCAGACAGCAGAAATGAGAGTCAGAGAAAGATGTAGAACCAGAGCATCCAGTCCGAGCCCAAGAATCTGGGTATCTTTGCTGTCCAAAGAGAAGCCTAGACTAGAAGACAGTCTTCCAAAACCAGGGGATTTTAGACTCCCCAGGAACCTGTGCTTCAGGAGAGATGACCACTGGCTCACTCTCCAAATGGCTGTAGCAGCCAGATATGGGCGAGCAAGGCCGAGGCCAGGAACTCTGTGTCTCCCATGTGGGTGGCAGGGGCTGAAGCACCTGGGCCTTCCTCTTTTGTCTTCGCAAGTGCAGTAGCAGTAAGACGGATCAGAAATGGGGCAGCCAGGACCAGAACCAGCGTTCAAATACAGGATGCCTGCATCTCAGGTAGAGGCTTACCCTACTGTGCCACAAAGCTAGCCTCGGCAAAGTTTTCTTTTTGGGTTCCAGTCATTTTCTTTCATGCGACCTTCCACGAAAGAGTGCTTTCCAAATCCAAATTTTCCTGAACGTGTCCATGCTGCACTCTATGCAGCTAGCCAGCAGGCCCTCCTAAAATATGTGTAAAGGTGTATTTTACTGTCCTCCTGCCCACAGAATCTCCTCTCGGCTTGAATCAACCTGTGCAGCAGCGCATGGTGAAGACAAAAACTTTTCAACGGAGCCGCATCCACCTCCTATGCCCAGAGTCTAGTTTTCTATCGTATAAGATACTCACCTTAATAATTGTAGGGTTCTTTTTAAAGGACAAAATTTGGGGCAGGCTGAAAAAAAAAAAACAACCGGAGCCTGATAGTATTTATGAAATCTTGGGGTTCTGTGTGTGGATGTGTGTTTTTTGAGCTGAAGGTGCCAGGATCGGTGTACAGCCCAGCAAAGGGCCCCGTGCCCAGGGGAGGACTCCGCATGTGGGAGCCCTTACATGTTGTCTGTCACCCCAGGCCCCGAGAGGTTCCACAGGGCAGTTGATCCCATCTCACTTGTTAGTATAGAAGAATTAGGTGTCTTCACTGGGATAACGGTTGTTGGTGTTTATGTCAAAACAAACTGGTATCCAGCAAACTGCTTTAGCTCTGCATTCCTCAGCGGCTTACTAGTTCCATCTCAGGATCATATGCTCTTGTCTGTTTGTTTGTTTTTGCATAAACATTAAAACATTCTGCCCTCTGTAACCCTTGAAATTGAAAATAAATGAATTGTAACGACAACAGACAAGCACTGCACTCATTTTGGGTCTCTCCCCACCCCCAAACTATTGCCTCTCCTTTCTCAGGAATTCTGAAATGATCCCCTGGAGGCAACAGGCACCTAATCACCCGATCCCAGTTGGAAAACGCTTTAGTGGACGCGCTGTATGTAGAGGAATTATTCCTCCTGAATTCTTAGCATTTTTACTGAAATGACTGAACTAAAGATCATTATATTTAAGCAGGAAGGAGAAAGAAAGAAATATAATTATGTGAACAGTACCAATTATGTGTGCCAATGCAGGAGAAAAAAAGGAAGTACATCAAAATAAAAATAGTGATAACAGAATGGCTTGGTTGTGGTTTGCTGTTCCTTTCTTTAGAACTGTACTTGCTGGCATTATTTTTTTAAAAACAGCACGGATGTTTCAAGCTGTGTTTTGTGTGAATATCAAACTGTATACTTACTAATTATCTGATATCTGGAAATTTGCAAAGTGATTTTTAAGTCATGTCATTGTGATATGCCTAGACGCTTTGATAGTTCTTAAGTTTTAAATTTTTAATTTAAAAATAAGGGCCCGGCGGCATGGCCTAGTGGCTAAAGTCCTCACCTTGAACACGCCAGGGATCACATATGGGCACAGGTTTTAATCCCGGCAGCTCCACTTCCCTTCCAGCTCCCTGCTTGTGGCCTGGGAAAGCAGTCGAGGATGGCCCAAGGTCTTAGGACCCTGCACCCTCACGGGAGACCCAGAAGTTCCTGGATCCTGGCTTCAATGGCATAGCATCGGCCGTTGTTCTCACTTGAGGAGTGAATCATCGGACAGAAGATCTTCCTCTCTGTCTCTCCTGCTCTCTGTAAATCTGATTTTCCAATAAATAAATAAATCTTTTTCCAAAAAATGTGAAACAGTGGCATGTAGGACACGTGGTGTAGTTTGACTCTTTGAAACAGTACTTTTTCTGTAAGTTTGTAGTCTTGATGAGGAATATTGTGATAATTGATTTTCTTTTGGGGATATTGATCAGTCTTGAACATATCTAAATAGCAGGAATAAATGTGATCATTGGAACAGCAAAATGTAAATCAGAAATTGAGAGAGCCAGCTCTTGGATGCTCTGGCCCTCTGTAGCCTGTGTCGTGGAGATGCCGGGGGAAGACCAGCAATTGTCTTAACATGCTGTACATGTGCAGGAGGGCATACCAGAGGTCAGAAGCACGGTGTTTGAGGTTCCTGAGTGACTGAACACCAGGTTCCCAAAGATCTGAAGGAAGTTCAGGCAGACCCGGAGCGTGACATCCTGGAACCGGTGGGAGATGCAGACCCGAAGCCAGGGCCAGTCAGTGGCCTCTGGGCTGGGCCACAAGGTGCGCTACTGCGTGGTGTAGAAAGGGAGGACACCACAGGCTTAGGAACATGCCGGCCTTTCCTGTCAAGGAAAATTCTGGAAATCCTATTCTGAGCTGGCAGAGTTTGGGAGTGAGGTAGAACAGGATTGAAGGAGCTGACAGTGCTTTCCAAAGCCAGAGGGTGAGAATGGGAGCAGTGCATTTTCTGTGACCCTCGGAAACTCAACTGGGCGTGTTGTGCGTGGAGCTGGGTGGAGCGCCCCTGTTAGGGAGTGAGGTAGAGAATTCTGCACGCATTCAGAAATCAGGGGGCTTTCCACTCTGCAGTCTGACAGCAGGCAACCTCTCACTACCTGGGTGTCAGTTCCCCCACCAGGCCACTGTCCGGTTGTGTGACTCCTTTCCCAGCACCCTTGTCACCATTCAGCACCCGGAGGCAGCAGAGCTGTTGTTCCTCCTCTTGTTTCTTTTCTTCCTTGTTTCTAAGCTCAGGTGCAAAAGGAGGTGTTGACTAAATTACTGTCCCTGCCATGTGTCTCACGTCAGCCTTGCCTAAAGCAGGCTGCCCCTCCTGTTTTGAAAGATTTATTGTATTTGTATCTACAGAAAGAGTGGGAAAGAAAAACAAAATGGTCACAATGGCTGGGGTTGGTCCAGGCCAGAGCCAGGAGGCAGGAGCTTCTGCCAGATCTCCCGTGTGGATGCAGGGATCCAGGCACTGGACCGTCCTTTGCTACTTTGCCCGGCCGTTAGCAGGGAGCTGGATTGGAAATAGGGAGCAGCTGGGATGCGGAGTGATTCCCATATGGCATGCAGGCGTTACAGGCCATGGCTTAACCCCACAGTGCTTCGTTGGTTTATCTTAAGATGTTATCTGCTCACACTCTGGATGTGAGATTCTGAGCTGCCTTCTAGAATATTCTCTGTGCAGTCATCTGCCTGGAGCCTGAACTGGGGAGCTGTAGTGCCTGGGATTCTCTTCTGAAACTATGCGGGCACAGGCCCTGGAGTCAGATGCCCCACAGCACCATCACACCGCCCGAATCTGAATTCCCTTTTCTCTTATGCAAGCATATTATTTTTAATAGACTCATGCTCATCAAGTATTAGAAGAAATAGCTATTACAATTAGAAATACTCAGTTTTCAGACAAAAGAGTCTGGAAGTGGTCTTTTCTGTGGTCGAAGTGTATAAATGTTTAACCAGTGTGATTAATCAGAATTGTGCATCTGAAAAACAGACATTGGCAGAAATTTTGCCTTTTTTGTCAGTTACCAACAAAAACTCTTCAAAAATGTACACAGATATGAAAGTAAAAGGGTTATTTGGGTGCAAAACATTTTCAAAATCCATGTTTTTTTAATGACAGGTGTGTTCCACAGATTTTTGAAACCCTCGTCACCCCGGATTTTCCAGGGCTGCTAAGAACACAGTGTGGTTTCCGCGGGACTCCTTGCAGCACTGGGGAAGTTGCCATCGCAGACTGACCGTACGCCTCTTCTCCCCACAGGGATAGGAGGCCTGCAAGACTCCGTGCTGAAGTCTGCCACGCTGTGCAGCCTGCCGTCCTGCCCACCGTTTATACCCCTCAGCTTCGAAGCCACGCCGATTGTGAGAGTTGCCATTGAACCAAAACACCCAAGTAAGATGACCTTGCGTTTCCAAGCACGTGACTTCCGGGTGTTCAGTACCTGATTCTTCATGATCCATTACAGCAGCATGTGTCAGGACTTTTCCTCGTTCAGAGTGCCCGGGGTAGCTGCTGGTCGTGGAGGGTGGACCCCTAGCTGCTCTGTGGCCAGTGTTGTCTGGGTCACTGTGTGCCAATCCTCTCTCCTCTTGAACAGGCTGCATTGGGGTTGCATTGTTTCCTTAGACTGAGTCCATGGGTCTCTGTTGGCACTGAGCCCAGGCTGTGTGTGTGTGTGTGTGTGTGTGTGTGTGTGTGTGAGAGAGAGAGAGAGTGATGGCTAAATCCTTCATCGATGTCATTTGGTTTGAATTTTGTGCTGATGTTTCATGTACATCAGGAGGCACAGAAACATAGAAAATATTATTTATCTAAAAAACAAGCTGTGATAAGTTTTGTTTTGAAGATTTATTTCTTTATTTGAAAGGCAGAGTTGCAAAGAAAAACAGAAAGAGGGAGTGAGTGAGCTGCATGAGAGAGAGAGAGAGACAGAGAAAATCTTCCTTGTCCTGGTTCACTCTCCAAATGGCTGCAACAGCCAGGACTGGGCCAGGCCAAAGCCAGGGGCTTCGCTCATGTCGGTGGCCTGGCTTTTGTTTGGATGGCAGGGTTCCAAGTACCTGGGCCATATTCCACTGCTTTCCCGGATTTATTAGGAGAGCTGAATGGGAAGTGGAGCAGCCAGGACCTAAGCTGGTGCTCATATGGGATGCTGGCGTCACAAGGGGCAGCTTAACCAGCTGGCCCCGAGTGGTAGACGGTTAAGGTTACTCTCCACTGTTTGTTCTGGCATGTTTGAATCGGTATCAGCATCACCTGGATGAAGAAAAGCCAGTGTGCGTATCCGGTAGTGTTTCCCACACTTAGTGATGGACACCAGGTCTGGCCAGTGTGGTGCAGTTCTGTGCTTCCCTTTCCCTTGCCTGAGTCTGACTGTAACCCTGCACATACTTTCCCTGTCGCATAGCAGCTGCGAGCCTCATGCTGGTTGCAGTGATTTGTCTTCTGTGTGTGGCCACTGTTCTGTCTCAGAGCAGCCACACCGATGAAAAGATGAAAGGCAATACAGGGACATTTTTAGATAGGCAGATGTAAGAAGGTAGATGCAGTTGAGAAGTGCTCTGCAAAATAAAAAGAAAAGTAAATATAATTTTATTTGTATTTGATAGAGATATCAATAATATACAAAGTTTATTTCTATCTATCTCTCTCTATATAATTGTGGTCGTGGTTTATGACGTGTTGTTTATTTAACACATTATTATAACATTTGGTGGCAGGAAAATATGATGGTCGTTTACTTTTTTCAGGAATCTTTTGGTCCAAAGCTTCAGAAGGGGTTCAACTTGGGGTTCCCTAAAACAGCCTGGAATCCTCCATCACCATGGGCATTGTATCTCCCCAGGTACTTGGCTCACACGGGCTCCCAAGTTGTTGCTGGTTGACATCTCAGGTCACCTGTGCAGGGGCTCCCTCCCATAGCTACCAAGAGAGCCTTCTGCATCAGTGTGCGGTAGCTGGCTTCAGCCAAACCTGGGACCTGATCGCAGAAGCTGGGGTGCCGTTCAGGACTCAGCCTCAGGGCTGGGATGTCATCCTTCCACAGTTTTGGCCACACAGGCCAGCTCCAGTGCGCTGCTGGAGAGGGCTCCTAGGGAGGAGTGTGACCCTCAGGAGGCCAAGCCGATGGGAGCCAAACTAGAGATTGACTGCCAAAATAATACTAAACTGTGTTTAACTGTCTGCCCTTAACACGTTGGGATACGGCTACGCGAAGATCGGCTTTAAGGTTCCATTTACTGTTACCACTGGAAATTGCATCCAGTAAAACTACACAGTGAAAATGGAAGAAATGCAGTACCAGGTCATCTTTTAAAACCATTTACCAGGTATCCCAAGATTCTGCTGAAATGCAGATAATCAGTATCTACTTTGCCTGATGCCATCTAACTTTTATTATTCTACCTAGGAAATGTTGATTTTTTTTTTTTTTTATCTTTAGTGAACCATCCATTTGAGAGACTTTGAAAATAGCGGAAATCACCTTCCAGATTTTAAGAGATGTTACACATCAGATGTTTATGTTGTTTGGGGGCAAGAAAATGACCATCAGTGAAAGCATTTTTAAGCATTTAACACTGGAATGTCTCTGCATTTCAGATTCTTATGGAAAAAATTGCTTCTTCCATTCATCTTAGACTGGCATCTTCACCTTGAAGAGATCTATTTGGGTGCCTGGATGGGAGTAATCAGAAACGGTGGAGAATGTATATTTTGGAACAGCCATGCATAGATTAAAAAAGAAGAAGAAGAATCAAATACACTTATATTTTTATTCCATCTTTTCACAGACTTTTTGAGGTGCCTTTGCATTTGTATATGTGCTGCCGGAGTGAGCACAGCTGGGACTCCGCCACAGCCTTTGCTTTCTATTTTGACTGACCAAGAGAGCTGCTTTTTGTTTCTCTTATTGTTCCCTTGTATCTGTGTCATTAGTATTATTAGTAGTCTCCTTATAGGAATCCTTTTAAGATGAGTTTCAAATTCCATGAAGGTTAAGTCAGTTACGGGTAATAGCTATGAACCTGCTTCATTCGGCAGAGGAAAACTGCAGTTTGCTAGGGCCTGGCACTATGGGTCAGTTGGCAAATCCTCCTCTTGCAAGTACTAGCATCCCACATGGGCACAGGTTCATGCCCCTGCTATTCCATCCAGCTCCCTGCTTGTTTCCTGGCACAGCAGCGGGGGACAACCCAAAGCCTTGGGACCCTGCACCCAGATGGAAGACCCATAAGAAGCTCTTGGCTACTGGCTTCAGATCAGTTCAGCTCCCCCCATTGTGGCCATTTGAGGAGTAAATCAGTGGACAGAAGATCTTTCTGTCTCTGCTTCTCTGTAAATCTGCCTTCTCAGTAAAAATAAATAAATCTTAAGAAGAAGAAGGAGAAAAGAAAACCAGTGCAGAAAGCTCTTGGGGTTTTGTTGGTTTTTGTATAATGAAAACCAAGCAGTGAGGAATTGATATTATCTTCTCTGAAAGTCTGGAATAGAATTTAAGACTGCCTAAACACGCCTTCAAGTCCAGGGTCTCTGCTTAAGCAGCAGCTGCAGACTTCCTCTGATCTGCCTTGGGTGAAGTGTAGCAGCTGAGAGAGAGAGAGAGTTGGGGGTGGGGGGCTGGTAAAAGAGAGAGAGAGAGTGAGAGAGAGAGAGAGTGAGAGAGAGAGAGAGAGAGAGAGAGAGTGTGTGTGTGTGTGTGTGCATGCATACATGTTGGGAGTGGGGGCTGGTCAGGCCAGCTAGGGTCTCTACGTCCTGATTTGCAGACTGAGCAGAGCAGCCATGCACCCAGGACCCTGGCTGAGTGGAGCACAGCAGGTGCCTGGGGCTCGCCAGTCCATCACTGGAGAGAGCTTGCTCACTCCTGCAGTTCCACCAGGGAGGTTTACGGCTAATTGCTTCTGATAGGACACTCCAGCTCCGTGTCCTCTGTATCGTAGGAAATGCTTCTGTACTCTCTGAGGAAGCATTCTGTCACATTCCTAGAGATGAAATAGGTCCATTTGTAATAGAATTTAAGCACATCTCTGAATATAATGACAGCAGTTCTGTCTGTTGGGAAGGGATGCAGGTCACCCCTGGGCATCTGTGTGGAAGGCCTGTGAGTGTCTTCTCATAGCTGTCTATAGATGAATTCCCAGCAGGCACTTGTCTTCACAGCGCTGTGCTATTTGGAAGAACAAAAACTCTTTTAAGTTTATTCCTTTTTGTTTGTTTTTGATCTGTATTGTATCATTTTTATGATATGGTTCCATGGGCCCTGGGATTTTTCTTCCTCCCTCCTCAAGTCCCTTCTCCCCCTGACTGATTTCCCCCTGTATTATTACAACAGTATAATCCTTCAAAAACAGTCATAGGTCCATCATTCTGCTACTTAAGTGTATCCTGACATTGTAGGCACGGACAATGGCAGAGTCCAGCATCGTATTGTCAAACTGTATTTCATGATGTCATTGGAAGTCCATAGTTGATTTGGAAGTAGAGATGCGTACTGCACTGTATCTTCACATCTGGATGTGACAGTCACTATTAAACAGTTTCTATACATTCCCTTAAATGAAAAGTCCTAAAACAAAGTCAACAACAGGTAAAAAAAAAAAAATAGAAAGTTTACAGCAGCATGAAGTTAAATAAGGTGCTATTAAATATGTTGCTGAAGAAATGAAAATCAAAAACCTTAAAGCAAACAGTGCTCCTGTATGACTTATGAGTCAGTGAAGAAATTAATAAGAAAAAAAAAACTTCTTTGAAGAAATAAAAATAAAAGCAAAAATATCAAAAACCCATGAGATGCAGCAAAAGCGGTTTTCCTTTCAAGGCCAGACACATTGTCTTTAGATTGCACTTGTCTCCCCATCACGCCCCGTTTAATCAGTGTCTCGTTTTGTTACCACAGGTGAGATGCCTCAGCTCGTGAAAGGAATGAAGCTGCTAAACCAGGCCGATCCCTGCGTGCAGATTTTAATCCAGGAAACCGGAGAGCACGTGCTGGTGACGGCAGGGGAAGTCCACCTGCAGCGGTGCCTGGACGACTTAACAGAAAGGTTAGGATGTCCTTCACCGGTCTAACTCAGACCCTTGATCTTGGAGAAAGATGACAGGCTTGAACTGTTACTGGAGCTTACATTTAATCTTCAGTAACTGAAAAAAATATTGCTCCTGTCTACGCTTGGATTATTTTGTATTTTTGGCTTGCATCATAACATTCTTTCGTACATTCATGAATATATTTTACTTTAGGCACGTATACACACACACACACACACACACACGGAGAGCATGTCAGGGAACAAAATGTGTAAATTTGTAAATACAAGCTATTAGAACAGACTTCTCATGTGTAGGGTCTCCACCTGCAGACCTCCTAGAGATCTTCAAGTTTGTCTGTAAATGTGATGTGTCATGGCACAGGAAACCCAAATCACTGTTTATAAAATAGCATTGTTCCTGTCTGTTCCAAGTACATTGGGTGTTTTTGCGGCAGTTAGAAAATATAGAGGAATAAAAAGAATCATCCATTTACACAGGCAAAATAGCCCCCATTGCGGTCCTGTACCTCATCAAAAAGTTTGCTGAGCTGCACAGCCCTGCTTATTTGCCTGACACAAACTGTTGATGATTTTATTGCTGACCCAAAACATGAATAATCTTAACGCTTAGGATCCATACTTTCCTTAAGAATCCGTATTTTCCTGTTTCAATCTATTTTATGACTAACAATGAACATTTTAAAGTGGCTCTTTTGCCAGCCTTGAGTATTGCTATTTTTAAAAAGTGTTACCAATCTGGGAGACTGAAAGGTCTTCATTGTTTGTAAACATTTATATACTTACTCATGGGCGGGGGGTGGGGGGAAGAATTCCCGACTGTGCTTCCTTTATTAATACTAATCACAACCAAAGTGATCATTGTAAATGGCCTGTGTACACTGAATGCCGTGATAGTCCCTGCATTAAGCACAGTTTAGCTCCTGTAATCCTTGCAGCAGCTCAGTTCAACTGCTGCTGGTGCTCCTTTGCCACCAGCTGCTGCTTCTCACAGGACAGGAACAGCTGCTGGGGCAGCGCTGGTCCCTGGGGCCTGGGCAGAAGCCCTGGCAGCCGGGCAACGCGCCCAGGCCTGTGCCTCAGTTGCGATGGTCTTGGGGCCTTGTCCCACTTACAGTGTCCCCGTAACCGTAATTAGAACAAAAATCAAAAGGTAGGTCTTCTATCCCCTTTACTTTGGTTACCAGTTTCTGTGAATTTCTAAAAGGTGCTAATGATTAAAGAATAATGTTAATTGGATAAATCATAAGACACAGTATATTTGAAAATAATGATTTAATTCTCAGGGGATTTCTTCAGACCATGTTTGCGTATGTGCACTAAATTATTTTCTCTCTTCTCTCTTTCCTTGTTACCAAATAAAAATGCACATTGAATGACCTTAAATTTAAAAGTCATGCTTTTTGGAATTTAAACTTAGGTTTCAAGTAATACTACCCACTTTGACCTAAAAACTGACCTTTGAGTTACGTTGCTAGCTAGATAGATCTTTAAAATATTTTAGCAGTAAAATATCCCTTAATGAAGTTATTGGGGGTTTCTAGACGTACTTTTGACCACGTACTAGACCACAGCAGAATAGAAACTTGACCTTTAAGTGCACTGGGAAACAGAAAGACGTCTGTGGTTCTCTGCCGCGTTGGCCGATGCGCTGAAAGGGCCCAGCCTCCATGCCTGTAGCGTTGTTGGAGTGTCTGCTCAAACCACGTGCCTAGTGTTAAATGTCCGATTGCTTTCTTCTCCTTTGTCCCCAGAAAGTTTTGCATTACTTTAATCGATGCACTTTTCTGTAGTCTTTCTGCACTTCTGTCTTATATTTTTCCCTGTGTGTATGTATTAATATCAGGATTGAAAGGGGGGAACAAACTGTGCTTCATAAATAAGTTAGTTTTCTAGAAATGCGTCTTTTACATATTGTCAGCAATTTGTTTTAATCAGTTTTTGAAAGATGGAGTTAGAGAGAGAGAGAGAGAGATCTTCATCTCCTGACTCAACTTCCCCCACTGACTGCAGCAGTGGCCAGGGCTGTGGCAAGCCAAAGCCAGAGTCCTGGAACTTCATCCGGGTCTTCCATGTGGATGGCAAGCAATGCTCTTGGCTCTTGGGCCATCTTGCTTCTTTTACAGGTGTACTGTCAGAGCAGATTCAGGACGTGAACTGGCGCACACCGCGGATGCTGGCGTCCCAGGCTGTGACATAAGCCACTGTGCCACAACTCCAGCCACTTTTGTTTTTAATACACTTAATGAGTACATTTTTATTCTGAAATCACTTTTTAAATATCTGCATCCAAATGCCTAAAAATAATATAAGCTTGTGCTGACTTAAAATAGGAAAAGCTATTAACATAACCACACTTCAGTAAGATGTCTTTCAAATTCTGGAGTGTTTAAAACTGCTTTTTCTAACAATCCCGATTTCTGCAAATGCCAAGACCTGTCTCCCTTTGTGTTGTGGACTCATATCTAGCTCTGAGAGGCCGCCTGGAGCCCGGGTCTCCCTGCCTCACATGCAGAGGGACTGTGCAAAGTTCCCACAGATGTTTGAAAAAGACAGTGTGTGATATGAGAGAACCATCCACGCGGCTTCCCGGGAATCCCCACATCCGCCAGAACCGAAGCTTCCTGGGCGCCACGGGGTGGATTTTGGAGCCTTTCGGGTTTCGGGTTGCAGGTTTTCTGCTTAGGGATGCTCAAGCCTGTATCCCTCATCCATAAAGAATTCCTTTGAATTCATGGGAAAAGCTGCAACTCAGCTGAAAAAGGGCGAAGGATTGAAACAGGAACTTCACAGAAGAAAATCCTGAAGACCAGTAACGTGAAAAAGTAGTGAATTAATGGGGTTGATGGAATCAAAGTTAAAGTGCGATATCTCTGCATATCCACCAGAAGTTTTTTTTTTTTTTTTTAAGATTTATGTATTTATTTGGAAGGATTACACAGAGAGGAAGAGTCAGGCACAGAACAATAAAGCTCTTCCGCCCAGTGGCCCAGATGACACAGAATCCAGGGCTGGGGCAGGTGTCCAAGCACATGAGCCTTCCTCCGCTGCCTTCCCAGGCCATAGCAGGCAACTGGCTTGAGAGTGGAGCAGCCTGGACATAAACAGGTGCCCGCGTGGGATGCCAGCATTGCAGGCCGAGTCCTGACTTTTTTTTTTCAATGGCACATCAGGCATTAGCAGACAGAACAAGAGGAACTCGCCTGCAGGAAGGGTGTGTGAATATGATTTGGTCTGACTGCTTTTTGACCTAATTAATTAGAAGATCTTTCTATTGCTTCATTAATCTCCCAGTTTTAACTCTATACACACAATACAAAGCAAGCCAAGTTGCACTAGAAGTATTCATAACAACAAAAATTCTACCCAAAAGCTGACAGAGCAACTCAGACAATAAAACAGACCAACAAGTTCCAGTAGATTCACATAATGGAATTCCACAGAATAATCTCAGTAAACAAAACAACAGCTTTGTACAAGCATGGATGGGCCTCAGAATATGACATCCAGGAAAACAAATGGGTTGCCAAAAAAAATCGTTTGAACCTATTTATATGAAATTCAGAACGCAGTATAGGGATTCTACATCGAAGTGATGAAAACCAGAAACACCGAGCATGAAGTGACAATAAAAGGCAGGCTGGTGATTTCCCTGTCACCTCTTGGAGAGGCTCTGGGATGGCGGCCGTCAGCACGGTAGCCGTGTTGCGTCTCGGCTTGACTGAAGGTTTCCTGGGCGTTCGCTTTGAAGTATGTGATCACAGCTCAGTCGTTTAGTTCGGCGCCTGGTTGCGCTGCACTATCAAGTTTCCTAACTATACTAAGAACATGCATGTAATTCTTCAGCTCTCGGAAGACAGGCCCCACCTGGCGCTATCCTGCAAGCAGCTCTTTCCACTGCCACACTCCTGCAGGAGCGCATCATGCCCAGGACCGGGAGGCGGGAGACTGTCCTCTTGAGACAAGAGAGGCTGACAGAGTTCTTAATCACCAGGGAGCGAAGCCACAGGGGATTGTACAGTCTGGCGGAGCCCACTGAGCTTTGTTCTGAAGTAATGACAGGTTTGGCTTTGCTGGGAGTTAAAGAACGCTCTATCCTGGGGTGCCTTGTGGGTGCAGCAGGCAAACACAGCGCCCACCATGATGTGTGGTGGCCTTCATGGATCGTGTAAATGATTACGGTAGGGGACGCAAAGCTCAGAAACTGTGGACAGGGCTGTGGTATACTCTCTTGTAGTTTCAGTAACTTTGCTGTTGATTTTGTTGAATGTTTTAAGTATAAGAATGTACTTTTTGCCAACAAGTGATAATTAAAAAAAGAAAAAAGCACTCTTCCTGTTCCCCGGATTTCTAACTGCTTTTCTTTTTTAAAAAACCAAACATGGGCACCAACTTATTACTCTTTTTTTGAAGATGTATTTTTAATGGGAAGGCAGATCATATTTAGAGAGAAGGAGAGACAGAAAGATCCTCTGTCCACAGGTTCACTCCCCAAATTGCCACAACAGCTGGAGCTGAGCTAATCCAAAGCTAGGAGCCAAGAGCCTCTTTCAGGTTTCGCCTGTGGCTGGCAGCAGCCCAACTCCTTGAGCCATCCCCTGCTCCCCCTAGGATATGCACTCGTGGGAGCCTGGAGTTAAGAGCAGCATTGGCACTTGTACCAGGCATGCCAGTATGGGATACAGCTGGCAGGATGCCAAGTGGCAACTTGACAACCAAACCAAATAGTATTCCGTTTCTTAGCCGAATAATTTTCTGAAGGGAACACATTGTTTTAAGATTCTAAAATGTCTTATACCTGTGTACAAATATATGAACATGCTCACTTTTATACACTTATCCATCTCTATTGCTGATAACACAGGTAGATCAGATCAAAACTCCAGTATTTCCTGGGAAAGATTGCCCCATTTCATCTTCGCCAGCATAAATCCATGCCAGATTCTAGGATGTGCGCTCTGTGGATTTAGAACTCCTTTGGAAAAGAGGCCATCATGAAGCCAAACGTGATGCTCTGTGGGTACAGGTGTCTTCTGAGCCTGGATTCAGACTGGGGCTCCAGACCTAGGCCGTGCAATGCAGCAACAACTGCCCATGGACAGCTGTTAGAAGTTAAATGTGTTGGAGACAAAAGTAAAAACATAGTTCCTTAATCACACGGCCACATTTCAGATGTTCAGTAGCTGCATGTGGCTGTTTAAATGTATTAAGATTTAGGGCTCAGCACGATGGTTCAGTGGCTAATCCTTGCCTTAACCGTACCAGAATCCCATGATAGATGCTGGTTCATGTCCCAGCAGCCCCACTTCCCATCCAGCTCCCTGCTTGTGGCCTGGGAAAGCAGTCGAGGATGGGCCAAGGCCTTGGGAACTTGCACCCGCGTGGGAGACCTGGAAGAAGCTCTTGGCTTCAGATCAGCTCAGCTCTAGCTGTTGTGACCATTTGAGGAATGAATTATCAGACAGAAGATCTTGTCTGTCTTTCCTCCTCTCTTTATATCTGCCTTTCTGATAAAAATAAATTATTTTTAATTTAAATAAATATTTTTAAGTGTAAGTAAGATTTGAAAAGATACATTTGCTCAGTTACACCAGCCATAGTTCAAGTACGCCATCCTTGCTGTGAAGGTGAGGAACGTGTCCCTATGGCAGAAGATCCCCTGGAAATCGCTGCTTGCATAAACCTCTGGTCACATTAGGCCCAGGGCGAGCCTCCTTGTCAACACCGAGTACCTTGTGAGATCCAGTACGCCATCCTGAGCGTCTCTGATTCAGTGTGCGTGTAGCGTTAGGATGGTTGGGATTTTCTTCTGCAGTCTCTTGCTTAGATTGGCAAATATTATCTTAAGGAATTTATACGGCAGATCCTATTAAAACATTTCTTTTTCATTGAAAACATTGCTTATCTAAATAGGCGGTTTATTTATCTTGTGAATGAACAAAGCAATGAAATTCCAGTACAAACCAAGAACTCCCTGAAGGTATACTCCCACTAGAGGTTCTCTTTTCAGTCTAAAATGAGAGCTATTTTGGAATTGTGATATAATGTAAATTACAGGGCTTTCATAACAAATACCATTTCTTTTGCTGTCTCTGCACAGTCCCTGTTGTGTAATGTGAAGCTTGCATACCATTTGGACTCTAATCTGTTTTTCTTGAATTTGTAGGTTTGCAAAGATTCAGATCAGTGTGTCTGAGCCCATTATTCCATTCAGAGAGACTATCACAAAACCCCCCAAAGTTGACATGGTCAATGAAGAAATAGGCAAACAACAAAAGGTTGCAGTCATCCATCAAACTAAGGAAGATCAGAGCAGAGTCCCTGAAGGCATCCAGGTGGACTCTGATGGGCTGATCACCATGACAACCCCCAATAAACTGGCCACTCTCAGTGTTCGAGCCATGCCCCTCCCGGAAGAAGTCACCCAGATTCTGGAAGAAAGCAGTGATCTGATCCGTGCAATGGAGCAGCTGACATCCTCTATTTCTGAGGGCAAAAATAGCGAGGCAGTGCACCAGAGAACCCAAGAGAAAATTCTGGAATTCAAAGGGAAGCTGGAGCAACACCTAACAGGACGGAAATGGAGGAACATGGTAGACCAAATCTGGTCTTTTGGCCCCAGAAAATGTGGGCCCAACATCCTAGTCAATAAAAGCGAAGACTTCGAGCACTCAGTGTGGACAGGCCCCACCAGCAAAGCTTCGAAAGAGGCCAGCAGATTCCGAGATTTGGGCAATAGCATTGTGAGCGGCTTCCAGTTAGCAACCCTGTCGGGGCCCATGTGTGAGGAGCCCCTCATGGGTGTGTGCTTTGTCCTGGAGAAATGGGACCTGAGCAGACTTGAGGAACCAACTGCAAGTCACAGACAGAATCTAGAGCCAGGAGAGCAGGCGAAAGAGGAGCAGGTGGAAGCCGAACCCACCTCCAACGGAGGTGAAGACCGAGAGCTGCACGAGGATGACCACCCGGAGCCCTGTGAGAAGAGGACTCCCCAGAAAGGAGACTCGTCCCTCACAGACTGCTACGGGCCCTTCTCGGGCCAGCTGATTGCCACCATGAAGGAAGCGTGCCGCTACGCCCTGCAGGTGAAACCACAGCGCCTCATGGCAGCCATGTACACCTGCGACATCATGGCCACCAGTGACGTTCTGGGTAAGTCGGTGGTAAAACGTTGAGTATTGCAAGGACTGCCCCCCCCCCCCTTAGAACAACACAGTCTCCCAGGTGCCAAACGCTTAAGCTCCTTTATGCTATTAGCATTTTCTATGATACGAGGGAAGGGAGGGTTTTAAAAGCTAGAGGCCTTGGCTCTCGAAACCTTCAGGGGAGGAAAAATGCAACTAGTCAGGATTGCAGCAGGTCGGTTTTTTGTTTCGTTGGGTTTTTTTTTTTTTTTTTTTTTTAATGATCTTACATAGTTGATGAGGGTCGAGGGCTGCAGTAAAGTGGGTAAGACCATTGTATCCACACTAATAATCTCTCTTTTTTTTTTCCCCTGTATCTGGGATCAGGGGAGAAACAAAGGGAGAAGCCCCACCCAGCCTCCCACCCATCCCAGGTCCCTGATGTGGGGCATGCTCCGAGGGTCCTGCTCATGCAGTTTTGATAGTTCAACAGTTCTGAATTGCTGCCAATCTCGCTTTTCCAAACATGATAAAATCTATTCAGAATCCACTGGCTGACATAGTCTCTTCATGGTTGGAGTTCGGAGATCAGCAGTTCAGTTGGAGAGATCTCCAAAAACACTTCGTCTGAGGTGATACCAGACTCAATTCTTGTATGTGCTTGCACCATCCATCACCCCAATCAGCTTATGCCTATGCTGGTGGTTGCAGTTGCTGGGTCAGTTCTGTTTCCAGCCCTGTCACTTGAACCAGTGGGTGTTGTAGTCCAGCTCAATCCTACCCACTTCATACTCGGTCCTCATGTAAACCAGTGGGAGCTGCAGCCTAGTTGGGGCAACTCTGCATAACCCCCACCAGGCCTACCCCCTACCCTGGTTCTCATGCTTGCCAGTATGTACCACAGACTTTTCCAGCCTGTCCCGTATCCCATTTAGCTCTCATACATGTCAGTGGGCATTGAAGCCTAGTTTAACCCAATCAACCTACTATCCAGCCCACAAACATACTGGCAGGTGCCTTTCTGTCTAGCCGCACCTGCCCCAATCCTGGTTTTCATGCTCTCCAGTGGGAGTGGTAACCCAAGAGGGAGGTGCCCACTATTTCCCTTCTAGGCTACTTCCACTCCCAGGTTATGCACTCTCTGGGTGGTTCTGAAGTTTCAACGTGACAGATTTAGCCCCCAGTGCCAGTCTCTACCAGCCGATGCTGTGGCAAAGCCCAACCAACCCTCACCTACTCTAATTTTTGCTTGCACCAGTCGGAACAGTCAGCCCAAATGGCTTTTCCCTGATCTAGTCCACATGAGGCCCACAGGTGTTGTGTAGCCTGGTCTGGTCTGTCCCCATCCCAATTCACACTCTCCAGTGGGAATGGTTGTCCAGCAGGGGAGCTCACATTCCACCTGCCGGCTTTGCCCGCTCCCTCCCTCCCTGGTTCTCAAGTGTGCTGGTTGGGTGCTGCAGCCACATCTGGTATGCCGGTGGATACCTTTCTCTGGCCTGGTCTGGGTTGCTCCCTATCGTGATTCTTGCGCTCACCTGCAGGGACTGTGTCCTGAAAGATGAGTTTCCCAAATTCCGCCTTCAGAACCTCTCCCTATGCCTGATCTTGTGCATACTGAGGGGTCCATGGGCCAGCTCCTCCTTGATGGCCTTCGATCCATTCTGGTACTCACTATTGAATGTTTCAGCCCAGCCAAGGCTTGTCCATACCCAGAGACTGCTCACACATGGCTCAGTAGGGGCAGAGACCTAGCCTAGTCCATCATACATCTACCCAGGTTCTCCATAACACCAACCAGATGGTGCTGGCGTCTAGCCCGGTTAGGTGAGCCCAGCCCCAGTTCACACTTGTGCCAAGAGAGATTGCAGTCATATCCAGACCAGAACGCATCCCCCACTCTGGAGCCCACACTCCTGTGGGAACCCCAACCCAGCAAGGGTGTACTCTCACAGCTCCCCAACCGAGCCAATTCCCAGCCCTGGATTACGTGTGCATGCCAGTGGTTGCTCTAACCCAGCTGGCTTAGCTCCTTGCCTATCTCAGCCTTTGTCTTCGATGCTGTGGCATAGTATCCCTGACTCATGCAGACCAGTCAGTATAAGAGCCTAGCTTGGCCTGACCTGTGCTCCATCCTGAATTCTGTTCTTCCTTATGAGTTGAGGTTTGCTCGCCCCCAAAGCCTAGGACTCAGTCACTGCCTATTGGCAGTGACTTTTCCTGAGTCCCCAGCATTTGGTCCAGCCTGGCTGGGGCACCCCCCACAGCCGCCACACTGCTGCAGCAGGTCCTTTTAGCAAATTAATCTTCCACTTGAAGAGAAACACTGGAGTTTTGTGTTACAAAATCCCTTTTGTTTCCAAAGGGTTACCTTATGTAAATATATACAGATGCCTGTTTCTGTACAATTTTCTAAGAAGTTCTCATGTGAAGTTCAGCATTTTTTTTTACCTCAAAAAGTTGTCTCTCTCTTTTTTAACCTGCATTTGGCCCCTACCTTACTGTCAGTGATTTCTCAAAAGGACCTAAAGAACTGTGAGATCCCCTTGTGTTTCTCAGGCCTTAAATTCAGTTAAGAAAGCCAGGTACTTTCTCCTGTGCTACTCACGTCTCTAATTCAACCTGCTGTCCAGTGCATGCACTGTTGGCCTGACCGAAGAGAATGGATGCTGGGAGCCCGGGCTCTTTAGTTGCCCTCTGTTAACATTATACAGATAGGTGAACACATCTCCTTAGCTGGGAAGTAGCGGTCAAGGCCTTTGTGTTGTCTTCACGGCTCTGCTCGCTTGCACATCCTGACCCGTCCTCACTGGGTTCCCGCTTCCATCCACGGTGCAGGTTTTCCTATAGCAGAGGTAAAAGGACACTCTCTCCTCCTCTCCCCCTCATTGAGAATGCCTGTGATGGGTGCCTTTTAGATTCGTACTCTCCAGAGGAGTTTGTCTTATCCCACATCGAGTTGTCTGTGATTTTTTAAGTATTTTTTTTTCTTTTTCTTTTACATCTGAAATTATGTTTCCTAAAGTGTAAGGACCATGGAGGTCTGTGCCTGTCCCTTTTCTCAAGAGAATGGAAACATATATTTCTTCCCAAAATAATGGGGACACAGATATCCTCCCCAAATTGCCAGCACTCCTGCATTGTGAATTTCAAGTGGTATCTGTCCTTTTTTTTTCGAGAAAATAAATCTTCAGCCCGTCATCCCCTGAAGCCAGAGCAGCTGTGGCTGTTGATCCGATGGAATCTCCCCGCAGACCGGTCAGTTACCCTGTTAAGTCACCAGTCTGTGTCCACTTTCTCATTTCTCTTAGGAAATTGTCACCTGGCCCCCACGTGGGACCAGGTCAGGCTAGGATAATCCTTCAGAATGTCATCTGCCACCCTGTCCCCTGGTCTGCTTGCTGGCCAGCCTTCCCTGGTCCACGCATTCCCTGCTGTCACTTTGCGGGGAGCAGTGCCTCCCCATGCCCTCAGGGAAATCTACCCTTTTCTCTCTGGAGCATCACTTTCCCTTGCCTTGTCAGGTGCAGGCCCCCCATCCCCTGTGCCACTTTCCTTGTTTACCGTCTTTGTGGCAACTGTGGCTTGGCTGATAGAGGTTTCTGTTTCATTGTCTCCACCCTTCAATTTCCCTGAGACCAACTGACTGCCACACCCAGTGCCTTACCAAGAAGCTCTTTCTGCATGCCGTCAGGATTTCTCCCCTCCTGGGCTGGTTTGAATGAAGTCTTGTTACTTGGAAGAAACATCTCCTCTGCTGTGTGTGTTCTCAGTGTTGGGGAGGGGATCTTGGGTGGCAGTGGTCCCTGGTGTCCAGGGAGCTGCCCACCTGGCTCCTGACTTGGGCGTGCTTTTCTTGGTCAAACAAGTGAAAGGAACTTTGACCTGCTACCTCCACCCACCTCGTTTCCACAGCGCACTCTATCTCCTGTGTGCTGGAAGCCCATCTGTTTCCCATCAACTATGTTTGCTGGATTTAATATTTTACTATCTCAGTGACAAAAGGGAAGAGGTTAGTGTGACCTAGTTTATAAGAAGTGCCCCGTAGTTCTGTGTGTTTGTAATTGAAGTTATTCCACAGTTATCAGCAACAATAGAAATCTTAAGATGGGAGAAAAATGTCCCTCCATGGAAAGCTTTCCTTTCCATCTCATTTTCCATTTTCTTTTTGCTACCTTGTCCATAACAATACATTTTGTAAAGCTGTCACCTTATGGCAAAAGTAATTTGATATTTTGCTTTAGAGTTAATTTATTTGAGTTTTAAGTATTGCCAGATAAGCCTGCATTTTCTTATTTTTGTTTTTTAATTTTTGTTAATTATTTGTGTATCTGAGAGGAGTTTCTATATACTGGGTTGTTCTCCAGAATGCCTGCACTAGCCTGGGAGCCAAACATAGCAGGGTGCAAACTCAGTCCTGTAACCTGAGCCGTGCCCACAGCCTCCAGAGCCCACCTGGTCGCTTCTCGACCTTTTGGGCAAAGTCAAGTGCACAGTCCTCCTGAGCAGGAAGTTGCAGTCAGGAACTGCAGCTGGGACTCGGGCCCAGGTACAACGAGCTCCAGGTGTTCTAACCAGTGTCTCAACTGTTGGGACAGAGACCTGTCCCTACTTATTTGATAAGCATGCCTCGGTCGGGCTTCTTTAAATTTGTAGTGTTCATTTGAAATTCTGCATATTAAGCTGACGTGTTAGAGTTTACGTGCCTGTCATCCATAAATTGGAAATTCACATTGTTTCCTGTTTTTTTTTTTTTTTTCTTCACCTGTTGGAAAAAGCGTTATTGTGAATAGCTGCTGCTTTTCCTAAGTTCTGAGGAAGACAATAGCATACCTTTGGCTGCCTGACCTCCAGCTGAGGAGATTGTAGATGAGCGGGCATTTAGTGCAGTGTGTAAAAAGCTGGTCGCCATACCTACATCTCATATGGGGGCCCCTCGGTTCATCTCCAGTTCCCTGCTGATGCACACCCTTGAAGGCAGCGGGTGATGTTTCAAATACTTGGGTTCCTGTCACCTCTATGGGCAAGTCAGCTTAAGTTTTCAGCTCAATCGGTGGCTTGACCCATCTCAGCTGAAACAGACATTTGAGGAGCCAGCCAGTAGGTGGAAACTCTGTCTCCAGGCTTTTCAAATGAGTTTAAAATTTTTGTAGAATCTGCAACTTGCTCACTCTTGTGGAGCAGAATCTGTAACACCATAAAGGAACAGACATGGTTCAGCGTAGCCCAATGGGAAGGAGCTTGTTTTGAACTTGCATTAGAGAAGACACTGGCACATCAAGCTCTCTCTTCATGGGCCTTGGGTGACGAAGAGGACTTGCAAACAGCATCAGACGGAGAGTGTGTATTTGCGATTGAAAAGATTGTGAGCTCAGAGTAGAGAGCCTACACGTGTGTGACTGCAGGCAGTCCTGGTTTACCCTCGGCACAGCGTGCAGGGTCTGTGCTCCCTGCACCCTAAGTTGTGGCAGTCCCAGGGGCTGATAGAGTGTGCGACTGACTGCCAGTCAGCCTGAAGTGCAGGCTGAGGCCCTGTAGTGCAGTCGAGAACTGAGCTCTGCTCAGAACTGCGCCCACTGATTCACCTTTCTGTTGCTGTCTTTTTCCCTAACAAGTCCTCTTCTCTGGTCCCTTACGTGTGGCAGGGCACTCGGGCATCTTTCAGTGAACAAATGGGTGACCACGAGTTCAGAGCTACTTCCAAAAGTTGGTGGAGAAGTAAAACAAAGGTGCCTTTATTTTGGTGCAAAACATTTCCGAAACTCCTGTTGGGAGAGGTCTTTAAAAAGTTGATGAGAGATGTGTATGATGGAAAAAGTGAAGTGTGGGTTACCTGGTATCTGCAGAGCCGCAGGGATCCTCGTTGAGCCGGCTGATTAATTGCCCAGTGGTAGTAGCAGCGAGTTTAGAGAGAAAGTCTCAGTGTATCCCAGCGTTGGGCGCACCTGTCGTGAGAGCCAAGGGTGCGTCGAAGCGTTCATTACCGTGTTTTCCTTTGTCTGGTGATCCATCACTGTGCCCTAGTTTTCAAATATTGCTTTAGTGGACTTAAAATTGGCTCAACATCACATGATTAATTATATTCATTTTCAGCTACAATTATTGACCCAAGGCTATTGGGATGGTCCGTGGATGGGAGGAGCTGCTGGCCTCTACAACCACAGCCAGCTCCTTCATTCTGCCACTGTTGTTTTCTGTTTATTTCCTTGTAACTTTTCTGACAATAAGGTAGCCTAGTCAAGGTCACACCTATGGGCTAAGCAGTCAGGTTTCTTTTTTTTTTTTTTTTTTTTTTTCCTGCCATGAAGATTAACAGTTATTCCACTGTTTGCAGAGTTTTTTTGAAGTATTCATTTCTGGCCATCACTTACTAAGAGGAACATACCTAAGTTGCATTAGTTCAAGTAGAAGAGGGGAACAGAATGGGAAATATAGTGTGTATCCTCCCAAACATTGGCCTAGAAAAGAAAAAAAAGAAGTAACTGTCTTTGAATAGCTGAAATTTGGCTGATTTGTGGCAGAGAGATTAAACTTGTCCCATATGATAAAACCATGACTTTACAATTAGCATTTTCTTGTGGGAAATAGACTTGGAGACCAAGCATTAGCTGGCTGTTGGTTCTGTCCAAAGACAGTGTTTGCCAGCGGCATGAACTGCTATTGGAATAGGATGTGTTGACCCTTCGTGTTCCCTGTAAGCACTGTGGCAGTTGTAACACAAATGACAAGGGGAACTGCTGGGATTGTGAGAGTGGCATTGCCTCCTGCAGGAGGTGGTATGTTCCTGGAGTGAATGGTAAATGTGGGAATGGAGGTCGAGTGAGAGGTCTGGCACAGAGAATCAGCTCTAACCATGAAAAAATACAGGAGGTGATTCTCCGGGCAGCAGGTGTGAAGACCGTAAGCATCTCCCCAGAGTCGGACCTACCAGAGATACTGAGACACACGTTGGAGCGACGCTCAGGAGGCCAGGAGAGCGTGGAGGGGGATGCACAGGGGTGACACATACCAGGAGAGCGAGGATTGAGAAGAGGGCACACTCAGGTTGGGAATATGACGATGATCGTGAAATTTCATGTAAGCATTTTGGGTGGAGTTCAGGACAAGCAGGAAAGCCACCATTCTGAAGAAAACGCACAGTGAGGAAACGGAAGCTGACGGAACAGTGGCCTCAGCTGCCTCGGAGGCCAACGTCCACAGCGGCATGCCTGTTCCAATCACAGCTCCCTGCTGACTGCCCCCTGGGAAGGCTTGGGCTCCATCGCTCACATGGGAGTCCTGCGTGGTGTCCCCGGCTCCCAGTTCGCCTGGCCCCTCATGGCTTCGCAGGCATTTGGGGAATAAATCCGTAGTGGTACTGTTCTGCAGCTCTGGCTCTGTTTCCCTCTTCCTCTGCTTAACTCTCTTACTGTGCCAGAAGGGACTGGGGAAGAGAAAATATAGTGACTAGCTACGTGCGGTCAAAGTGTCACCTTTCATCACTCATAGAGCTTTTACTATTTTTTTTTTGATTGTTTGAAGAGAGAGGTTTCCCATCTGATTGTTAACACACCACAAGCTTCCAACAGCCAACGGAGAACCAGCATGAAGCCAGGAGCCTGGAATTCCATCCAGATCTCTCTCTCTCCTGGGTGGCAGGACCCAACCACTTGAGCCATTGTCTGCTGCCTGGCGGAGTGCACGGCAACAGGAATTTGAAATTCAGCGCAGAGCTGCGATTTGAACCCACACATGCCAAATAGAGGATGCAGGCATTGCAAGTAGCATCTTAAACCTTATGCCTGCCCCCAGCTCTCTTTTTAAGCTAAACCTAAAGATGATGAAGGCCCATTAGTTTATAGGGTGGTTGGATCGAGGGAGAAAGCTTTCATCCTATGGTTTGCTCCCCAGATGGCTGTAATGGCCAGGGCTGAGCCAGGCCAACACCAGAAGCTTTATCTGGGTCCTCCACGTGAGTAATAGGAGCCCAAACACACCAGCTCGTCCTCCAGTGCGTTTGACAGGTCCTTAACAGGGAGCTGGATGGGAAGTGGAGCCAGCGGGACAGGAACTGGTGCCAACAAGACATGCTAGCTTAACGGGCAGCCTGACCCTCTTCAGCCAGCAGCTAGTCCTTGTTTTAATTTCTCAAGCCCTTCCAGCATCTTGGGTTTTCAGCTATTTGTTTTCCTTTTATCCTTCTTAATTAACCACCATCAGGGGAGAAAAAAGGTGTGGGGATTCAGGTCATTTTACCCTGTGTCTTCAGTTATTAGTTTAATTTATATCATGCATATATATGTAAACACATATATGTGTTTACATATGTGTGTGTGTGTGTGTGTAAAGGTAAGTGGGTGGGTGCGTGCATACCAGACTCTTAGGAGACAAGAGTCCAGGATGCAATGCAACCTCAAAGGCGACTTCAGCCCCTGCTTGTCTGCAGTGTGGAATTTGGAGGATAATGCATGCACGGGCGATTCATGCAATTGCAATTGCTATTCATACGATGGATGAAGGAGGAAGCTTTCGTGAGTACGTGCTGGCTGTCCCAGCTTCCTCACACTCACAGCCCTGATTTGCTTTTCTCGTGCCTCCTATCAGTTTATCGATAAATTTATCTCACACACATTCCCCCTCTCTCTACTCTGCAGTCAAGAAATACTGTCGAAAAATTCCCCTGTGTTTGCAAACCAGAATTACCAGTGACATTGAGTCATCACAGGAGGTGATGCGGAGGTGGTCATGTCTTGTGTGTGGCTGAAGTTACGTGACCAGGCAATGAATTTAGCAAATGTATGGCTTTGCAGGCCGGGTCTACGCCGTCCTGTCGAAGAGAGAAGGCCGAGTGCTTCAGGAAGAGATGAAGGAGGGGACGGACATGTTCATCATCAAGGCCGTGCTGCCCGTGGCCGAAAGCTTCGGCTTTGCTGATGAAATCCGGAAGAGGACGAGCGGCCTGGCCAGTCCGCAGCTGGTGTTCAGCCACTGGGAGGTACGTCCCCGGCTCCCCAGCCCTTCCTCCGCCTCTCTCCACGCGCTCCCTGCCAGAGAGGCCCCGGCGCTGCTGACAGCAGGCCACTGGCCTGCCCGCGGCCCCACCTGCACACATGGACGGCAGAGATTGGCAGGCGGCTTTTCTCGTGTGGGTTGGATGGGCCTGAGATCGTGCGTGGCTTGCACACATTTGCTCTCCCTCTGTTTAGTGTAAGATGTAGACAGATGCACAGCACGTAAGCCGGGTTTTCTCCCTGTGAGGTTTGAATTCAGACGTTTGTACAAGAGACCCAACAGCTCTTGAGAAAATGGAACTTCATGGAGGGGAGCAGTTGTGCCCCTTGCAAGGAGGGGCTCTGCATGGAACCCCCCCTCCCCCAGTTTCCTGTTCCTCCCGTGGGTAAAGAGGCAGGGTTTCTGTCGCTTTCCAGGTTTAGGGGAGTAAAGTGCTCAGCCAGACTCTTCATTGTCAGCGTAGACAAAGGAAGGTAGAGAGATGAGCTGGATCTATAATCATAAAGGGAAACTCAACAAATGCATGCTCCGAGGAGAGAATAAGGGTTGTAAGCACATTGTTCTTTAAGCTGGGCTGGGGAAATCCTGACCGCAAGCGACCATGCGTTGAGGTCAGGCCAGCCTTCCTGGAAAGCAGACCCCCAGGCCGCTGAGCTGGGGGCCCTGGGAGAAGAGGCGGCCAGCGAGGCTGTGGGGCCCACACCCACCGCAGGCTGTGTTCCCAGGAAAAGACCGAGGGTCGCGAATAGGATTTTTAAACTAGAAGATACATACAGAAAGGCTATGTAAAGAAAAGAGTCTGTGTTGTCACTATTTTCCAGGATATCTTGTGATTTTCTTTTTTCCCTCTTACCATGGAAATTTATAGTTTAGTGGAAGAATTGTTGACTCAGATAATCCTGGTTTCAAATGTTGCTTCTGCCACTTATTGGACCAAATCATGGCCCACGCTCAGTGCTTTTGGCCTCTCAGGGTCAGTGTGTCACTTGTGTGAGTTAGTGCCTGCCACAGCCTGTGACTGCCATCCTCCGTCCACACCACATTCCTTATGTCAGCTCTGGGCAGCGTGGCTCTGTACCAGGCTTCATGCAATGGCAGGGTTTCTTCTTTAACTCCTTATTTTAACAAAACTCCTAGTTCAGGTTCAATATTGTTATTTCTCTCACTTTTTTTTTTTCTCTTTTTCGTGTGATGGGTCCCTTTCTCAAGAACACTTTAAGCTGAGATTTTAAATTTGATTTGTTCTGGAGCTGAGAGGTCTCCCAGGTCAGTGGTAGGAGTCCAGCTACTTGACCTGTCTTAGAGGGTCTACGTTCGCAGGAGACAGGAGCCAGAGCCGGGGCTTGAACCCACATGTCAACGTGGACTTTGGGTATCCCAGCCAGTCCTAACTGTCTGTCCAGAGAGTTTAAATTTAGATCATGAATGGAGAATGAGAGTGATTGAAAATAGCTTCATTTTAAAATACAGTTTAGAAAGAGGTGAATCAGGAATTAATGGTGACACTCAAGAAAAACTATCATTGAACAGGGTAAATTAGATTTTAATTCTCTAGGTTCATATCGTCTACACTGATAGAAGTTAAACAAATTACATAACATCTTATTTATTTCAAAGAGGCACACAGACGAAGTGAGGTCCTTGCATCCACTGGTTCACTCTCCACATGACTATGGGAGCTGGGGCTGGGCCAGGCCAGAGCCAGGACCAGGTGTCCATCTAGGTCTCCCTGGGTGGCAGGGGTCCAGGTACTTGCATCATCCTCCACTTATGTGCCATACGAGGGTCTGAACCGAAAGTGGCCTAACCAGGACCAGAACGACCACTTTGATAGGAATGCTGGCTCTGTAAGTTGCAGCTCAAGTTGCTGCACCACATTCTTAATGTTTGATAGAATCACGGTAATGTTCTGATTTAGGTTGCTGGGTTTTTTTTTTTTTTTCTTCTTCTTCTTCTTTTCTCAGTGTAAATTCTTTATTTTAGCAGTCACTTACTGGAAAGTTCTTCCCTTCCATTTTGCAGGGCTGGGGGTAGGTCTGGCTGTTTTATTATCTTACGTCAGTAGTCACAATTGTTGCCTTTTATTTTGTTATGAAAACGATAATCCTGAAATATTTATTTATTAAGCCTCAAGCTTATGGATAGTAATTTATTTTTTATTATCATTTATTTTTATTGGAAAGGCAAATATACAGAAAGAAGGAGATACAGAGAGAAAGATCTCCCATCCACTGGTTCATTCCCCAAGTGGTTGCAACAACCAGAGCTGAGTCATTCTGGAGCTAGTATCCCGGAACCTCTTGCGGGTCCCTCACACAGGTGCAGGGTCCCAAGCCCTTGGGCTGTCTTCCAGTGTTTTCCCAGGCCACAGGCAGGGAGCTGGAAGGGAAGTGGAGCAACTGGGACATGAACTAGTGCCCATATGGTGCAGTGCATGCAAGGCAAGGACTTTAGCCACTAGACTATTGTGCTGGGCCCAGATAGTAATTTTTTATTCCTCTAAAATCTTAGCCTTTTTTTTTAAGGTTTACTTATTTTTTTATTACAAAGTCAGATATACAGAGAGGAGGAGAGACAGAGAGGAAGATGTTCCGGCCGATGGTTCACTCCTCAAGTGACCACAATGCTGTTGCTGCGCCGATCCAAAGCCGGGAACCAGGAACCTCTTCCAGGTCTCCCACGCGGGTTCAGGGTCCCAAAGCCTTGGGCCGTCCTCAACTGCTTTCCCAGGCCACAAGCAGGGAGCTGGAAGGGAAGTGGAGCTGCCGGGATTAGAACTGGCACCCACATGGGTTCCCGGTGCATTCAAGGCAAGGACTTTAGCCGCTAGGCCAAGCCACTGGGCCCTAAAGTTCTAACCTTTTACTTTTGGTTTTGGCACTTGGCGGTTTTATCTGAGCATAAGCCAGTATGAAGTAGAAGCAATGTGTTATAGTGGGCCACACCTGAGGAACAGGCACCGTGCCTGGTATTCCTACAGGCAAACATCATACTGACTCCTCTGCCACAGGGCTTAGTGACCAGGCCTGTCATCGTCAGCCGGGAGGCTGAGGGACACTTACAGCTGGAGAGATACCACAGTGCAATGACCTCGAGAGGCCAAAGACTTGGTGTATTGGCACCACCTTTGCTAAAAACGGCCTTCAGAACTCGCAGCTCTTGCCCCCAAGTATCTTAGCAAATGGCAAGTGTTCTGTCTGTGAAGATGGCCCTAGTCAACACTGGGCAAAAACTCTGGGTTACCAAGAGGGTGTGGCTCCACCAGGTAATCAGAACAGCGTCTCCAAGTGCAGACTCGGGGTAGGCACCAGAGCGGTCACGAATCCGGCAGCGTGATTGGGCGAATGTGTTTGAATTCAGACATAATGGTTTTTATTCAGAAACCTCCTCATTTTACAGGACTATCCTTGAAAGTGATTCTGCAAGTACATTTTTAAAAATTACAAAGTCCCCCTTATTCCCTATTAGGCAAATATACTAGGATGCTCCAAAAAGTCCATAAAGAAAATGGAATTTAAAAAAAAAATCAGTTTGTTGGGGTGCGAAAGCATTTAGAAGTCAGCTGATGGATTTTTTTTTCACCTGCGCCTTGCCCAGCCTGTCTGAAAACCCCTTGTGTCAGGACGTAGCTCGGGCTGCTCTGACAGGAGCCAGAGGCAGGGCTCCCTCTGGGCACTGGCTGCGTTTATGCTCACTCAGCTCCGCTGAGACTCCGACTGTTCCACCTGCCGGCGCCACATCCACGTGTGAACCAATAGGAACAGGGATGGGAAGGCATAGGACGTACGCCTTTGCTGGAAGGACACAGACATGGTCCTGCATGTCGCATTCCATCTCTTCACGGTACCCACAAGCAGTTGCTCTGACCATGCCTAACAAGGCCCCATGCAGCGAGACTCAGCATGCATCCTAGACCCAGGGCAGGGCTCAGCAAACCAGGCTTCCTTGCTTGGTTGCATTTATTCACAGACTTGCCAAACAAAACTCAGTACTTGGGACAGAAGCCCTGTGGCCTGTAGTGGCAGAACCACTTCCTATCTGGGTCTCGATGGAGGAAGTATGCCTCTGCCCCCTTGAGCCAAGGTGACTATATGCCAGTGTAACGGTCCTGCTACCAAAAGAAGGCAGCCGAGTGGGCATTGGGGGGCAGGAAACGTAAAAACTGCAGGGTTTTTCCAAGCAGGTGGTATTTGTTTATGTGATGACCAAGATGGTTTTTACTCTCCTTTATCTCCTGGATTTGAAAGCCCCCGCCCCCTTTTTTTTAAGATGTATTTTTATTGGAAAGGCAGATATACAGAGAGAAAGATTTTCCATCCACTGTTTCACTCCCCAAATGGCCACAGTGGCTGGAGCTGATCTGATCTGAAGCCAGGAGCCAGGAGCCAGGAACCTCTTCTGGGTCTCCCACACGGTGCAGAGTCCCAAGGCCTTGGGCTGTCCTTGACTGCTTTCCCAGGTGACAAACAGGGAGATGGAGAGGAAGTGGAGTAGTTGGGACACAAACCATTGCCCATATGGGATCCCAATGCATGCAAGGTGAGGACTTCAGCCACTAGGCTAGCATGCCAGGCTCTGAAATGACTTTTTAAAAATGCTAAAAAATTGACCTTATATAGTTAGTAATTTTTTAAAAATATATTAGTTTCTGGCTTAACTATATGGCTTGTTTCTAAAAATCCATCTCTTGGACCTGGCTTCAGATAGGCTCAGCTCCGGCCATTGTGGTCACTTGCGGGGTAAGCTAGCAGACTGCAGATCTTCCTCTCTGTCTCTCCTCCTCTCTGTATTGCCACCTTTCCAAGATAGATAGATAGATAATAAATCTTTTAAAAAGAAATCAGTCTCTTTAGTAAATAACATGACAGAAAAATGCTGTTCAGAAAAATTCTCCAGTGTTGAGGCACCCTTCTGTCATTTCCTGTCATTTGCCCAAAACTTTGCATCTTTGATATCTTGCAAATGACATCACAATTAATTTATCTGGATCTGATGCTGCATGACCCTCCCAGTCCCCCATGCCCCAGCTACTCCATAATTAGTTTAGAAATAACACAGTTGTTGAGATCTGGCTTCTCACACCAAGGCGCCTTTTTTTTTTTTTCTTTCTTTCTTTCATTTGTACTCTATCATAGCATGTAATTTACAATCAAGGGCTTTTGAGAAAAAATACTTCAAGGAAAAGAGAAAATAAAATTACAGTCATTTTCCACAAGGAAACCTTTGAAGTCAGCAATCTCATAATTTCTCACTCAAGTTCTACCCTTCTCTGAAAAAAATAAAGGAAAGGAGCAAAAGGAGCTAATGAGCAGCCCACAAGGAGCACCATGACCGCCCAGCACACCGCCGTGCCCGGGTGCCAGCCACTGCCCGGCGGGGCCCAGAGTTCATGCAGGGTTGGAAAGAAGTGATTGCCACGGCAGCGGCCACGTTTATTTTGGATGCAGTGTTTCTCACCTGCCACCCGTAATCATGGTACAGATGGGGCAAAACACTGAAACCGAGCTCACGGTTTTTTTCTGTCTAGGCCTTTCTTTAGGCCAGGCCAGCAGCTTGCATTTGTGAGGCAGCCAAGAGATGGCTGCAGCTTCCCCTCTGGTCTGACAGGGAGCCCTGACCTGTGGCCTTAGAAGGCCCTTCCGCCACGTGCAGGCTGCACGACCCCGTGGGTAGGCCTTTCTCCCTCCGCCCAGGCAGCACACAGCCAGCCAGAAGCAGCCCAGTGCACCTGCACCTCCCAGGACCCAGATTAGTTTGGCACTGCGAGGCAGGTGGCTTTGGCAAATCAACAGGAACACAGAGCCATTGCCCAGAATAGTCACGGGAAAGGAGCCTGGGCCCCTGCGCTGTAGTCCCCAGGGGCATCGCTGGGGACAGACACTGATGTGGGTAACAAGTGCCCTGGAGGTCTGTGGAAGCCAGTGGAGCCCTCGCAGTGATGGACCCTGCTTTTGAAACTCCATGATCTTCTTGTTTGGAGGCAAGGCATCTGGTCTTTAGTTGGCTGGGCTGTGTCTGCTGTCTCCCACACTCCCTCCAGGACAGCTAGTCCTAGTGTGTTGTGTGCCTTTTGGTGGCTGTTCATATTCCATCCTGGAATGTAGCGTGTTGTGTTTGTGGACATTTGAGCTTTCTTGCCTTCTGGCTGTATGAATCAGTCTGCCATGAACCCGTGTGTACACAGATTTGATCGAGTCTGTCTTTGCAGTTCCTTTGGATAAATCCCCATGAGTGGAGTATTGAAGTCGATGGTGATTTTATTTCTAACTTTGAGGGAGCTGCCACATTCTTTGCACAGTGCCTATAGCCATCTCGGGTTTTTCTTAACAGTGTCTGAGGTCTCAGGTTTCCTCACATCCTCCCCAACATTCAGATCTGCCCCCTTTTAGTAACTGTTGTTATTGTAGCAGCCCCAGTGGGCCTGAAGTGGCATCTCCACGTGGTTTTGATGGGCCTTTCCCATTGGCCTGTTGACCGTCTGTGTGTCTCCTGGGAGAGATGCTCAGGTCTTTGGGTGGTTTCTTACTGGGCTGTCGACGCTTGCATATTGTCTCTTTGTGGAGTTGTGAAGCCTTTTTATACCTTCCGGATGTAAGTCTGTCTTTGAATTCCCTTGCTCTCTCTGCAGCAGTATTTGGTCTTCCCAGTAGGCTGTTTCATCATGACTGCCCTGATGTTTGATGGGTGCCATCTGTGCCCTTTATTTGAGGTTCTCCTGCATGGCGTGTGAGCCCTCCTGTGGTGGGGTCTGGTGCCTTGCCTGATGCAGGACCCCGTTTGGTGCTTTGTCGTTCACCTGAGGTCATCTCTGGCAGGAGTGTGACCTCCCCATGCAGTGTTGAGTCACCCCTCGTCCACTCTGAGGGCTCTGGCTCCAACCCTGACACCCACAGAGGCTCACTCGCTGCCATCACCGGCTGGATGGTACAGGACAGGCCACGTCTCATCTCCAGAGCCGACTTGGCTTACGTCTTGCCTGCAGCTCATTCCTGGTCCCAGCACTAGGCAGACACAACATTCTAGCTGGCCTCCATTCACCTTCAAACAGTCAAGAAGCCTAGGTGGCAGAGGAAAGCGGAAGAGAAGGCTGCTTGTGTCTACCTTGGCTCCGACTCACCAGCCACTGTGGAACGGTCAAGAATGTGCTGGCAGGAATGAGTTGCTCTGTGAGCAAAGAATCCTGTGGATGTTGCAAGTTGGGTTTCATCTATTTCCATGTGTTCACAGCTCCTGCAGTTCTTCACATTGGTTTACTCTCCTCCTTCAAAAGCCTGATTGTCTCTCACCCGGCTTCCCTGGCTAGGATGGGGTGACCCCCGGGGTATTGCACAGATGCGGTTTGCAGTTTCAGCTCTGTCTAAGCTCACATCCTTCTTTGTCCTTCTCCATCAGATCATTCCCAGTGACCCCTTCTGGGTGCCAACCACCGAGGAGGAGTACCTGCACTTTGGGGAGAAGGCCGACTCGGAGAACCAGGCCCGGAAGTACATGAATGCGGTGCGGAAGCGGAAGGGCCTGTATGTGGAAGAGAAGATCGTGGAGCACGCGGAAAAGCAGAGAACGCTCAGCAAGAACAAGTAGCCGAGCCCCTGGAAGCGCACTGTGTCACAGGGGTCTGAACTCGGGACGGTCCCTCCTGCCACCTGCGCCCTGTGCGTTCCGCTCAATAAAGCCAATCCTTATAAATACCTGGAAGAGGATGTCGCAGGGAGGACTCTTTCCGGAGTGTGTTGTTTGAACTTGATCGCGGCTCAAGGCAAGAAGCTACCCTAAATGCTGCAATGGTGGCTTGGTAGCACCTGACAGCCGTGCAGGCTGCTCCTCTGCCGGCAGCCCCGCTGGCCTCGCAGCCTCTCCCCAGGCCATCGCAACATCACACGTTGGGCCTCGGTGGAGGATCTCTGGGTAGAAACCTCCGTCCCACATGGCATCAGGCATCCTTTGGGGAAACCAAACTGAGAAGGCACTCTTCCTTCAGGTTCATCAGGCCCGGTCACTGGTAGAGCTGCCCCACTTGCCAGTGATGTCTGCCAAAGCAGTGAGGCCAGTGTTCAACGGCTGGCCCTCGTGGATTCAGTACTCATGGAAATTATATCCTTTCCCCCAAAAAAGTGAATTTTTATCCTTTTCTTGGCAGTTTCCCTTGAGCCTCGCTGGAGCTTGTCCATGAGGCTGTTATCTTTAGGGTAAATATTTTCTCTCTTCTTCCTAGTGGGCCCCGTCTACAGGACAAAGGCAGCTCAGTGGAAAATGGATTGTGTTGTGGTTTGATTTTGCACAAATAATCCTTATCGCCATGGAAAAGGAGGATTTCTTAACATGAAATGATCAGAGCCAACTTTGTGGGAGGTGTTTTTTTGTTTATTTTATTTTTTTTAATGGACTTGCTTAATAACCTCAGTCATTCTCTGTCTTAGTTGCCATCTTAGCCATAATCTTTGAGCCCTAGCCTAGCTGATCATGTCTGCTTGACCCAGACGGGGGGAAAATGTCACCAGACAATTGGCCATCCGTTTTCAATGTGACAGATAGTGATATCTGGGTTAGTATAGCAGAGCACACCGTATACTGCTTTACTTAAACCTTGGCTACCCTAGGAAAAGCTAACACATTAACTGACAGCGACTGTAGCCAACATGGTCAAGCCTGCCAGATGTGCTGGCCAATGTCCTGTCGGCCTCCGCACTTGATGAGCAGATTGCGGTGAAAGCGGTGAAGAGACGCCTGGCCCCGGGGAGTCGGCGCTCTTCCTGCAGTCCTCTGGAGCCCTGCCAGCTGTGCCAGTGTGCAGACCCAGAGCCTGCCATCTCGGTGGCTCAGGGAGATAAAAGAGACAGGAAGGTGGACAGAGAGGCAGGCTGAGCAATGCAGCTGGTCAGCCATCCAAATTCATCCTGACACCCCTGTCTCATCCTGAGACCCCTGTCTGAGACAGCCCAGAGAGAGCGCCCCCTGTGCTCCTGGTGCCACAGCCAAGGCAAGCCTAGGTCTGTGGCATTCCTTGGAAGCAAGCCAGAGAGCTGCCAGTGTGCGTGTGGAAGTGAGGGCCAGTTGTCACCTAGCAGAAGCTTCCAGAGGTTTCCAGGCAGGCCCCCTGGGACAGGAAGGAAGAGGAAGCCACAGGCCAGGACCCTAAGCCTGCCTCTGAACTGAGGTGCTTGGATAGCTGGCCGTCCACTTTGGGGACAGGCCTGAGACACATCGGCCTTTCCCAGCCAGCCCCAGAGTACGGGACAGGGAGGGGCAGGGATCCAGGGTTCCGCCCCTTTGCTCTCTGAGGGGCCAGAGTTCCTGTCTGTCAAGGGGCAGTGCCCTCCTTCTGTGGACTCGGGATTAATGCCAGTCCTGCAGAGCTGGGAAGGAGGCCCACGTGTCAGGGACTTGCACACAAGGGAACTTTAAAAATGCTGTGTAAAACAGACTCAAAAGACTTTTTTTTTTAAAGGTTAGTTTATGTTTATTTGAAACGCAGATCTACAAAAAAAACATCTTGCATCTGCTGCTTCACTTCCCAAGTGGCCCCAACGGCCAGAGCTGTGCCAATCCGAAGCCAGAAGCCAATAACCTCTTCTGGGTCTCCCAAGGTTTTCGGCCATCCTCCACTGCTTTCCCAGGTCACAAACAGGGAGCTGGATGGGAAGTGGGGCAGCCGGGACATGAACTGGCACCCATATGGGATCCCTCTGGGCTGCCCTGGTGAATCCATACAAGTTGCTTACTACAGTTGGCAAAGGACCCACTACTGAAAAGTGCTTAGCTATCCTGCAAGGGCCTGACTCAGCCTAGTGTCAGACTTCCATTTTCTTTTCCCTCCCCAGCATTCCCAGTGCCTGGGAATTCCCACTCAGGGCCAGTCTCCCCTGCCTCCCCAGGACAGTTAGAACTGCACTGTGCCCCACTCACACCTTCAGCCAACCCTCAGCACAACGTACCGCTGCCAGCCTGAGGCCCCTGCTTCACTCTCCAGCCCGCAGCCCAAAACTGGTGGCTCTAAAGACTTCATCACCAATGCTGACCTCCCCACTTCTAGCCACACACAGCCATCACCACACACCTGCTTGCAGCCAGGCCCAGGTGACCTTCACGCCAGAGCCCAGCATCCTCATTCCGTTGGCGCACTGGCTCCAGGACCACTGCCTCTCTGGGACCTTCTGCCTCCTGCTTCCAAAGAGCCAGCAGCCAGCGAGAAACCTTGGAGAAAGTCATAATGCAAATGCAACAGGTGGTTCAGCTGCTATCCCAAGGGCCACCCTGGTTCCATCCAGGCAGGACCCAGGAGGAGGAGCTGGGTGAGCAGCAGTGACCCTCCTCCTCTGGCCAGGGGCTACACAGTGACATCCACAAGAGGGCAGGGATGGACCAGAGCCACCCAAGAAAATGATGATGGAGTTCCAGACAAGGGAAGAGCCCCACAGAGGCTGAACTGCCCCTGCCCTGGCGTGGTTGGAGGCTTGGAGGTGACAGCTCAGACCTGGTTCTCCAGGCTGCGTCTGGAGGACCTCACACTGGACATGTCCCTGTCACTGCACAGTCCCCCTGGTAGGATCCTGTCTGCAGTGGAGAGAAGGCAGCAGCACACGGAAACGGAAGGCAGATGGTACCAGGCAAACATCCGCGGCCCCTTAGCCCCTGTTTGTCACAGCCCCAGGATGCGGCAGGCTATGGCCAGAACATCAAGGCTGCTTCACGGCTAAGACGACTGTGAAAGACAGGTGCCTGGCAGCTGTTCTTGAGCCATGACTGGGAAGCCTAGCGATTGCTTAGCTGGCAGAAGAGGATGAGGTGAAGGGAGAGAAGCCCCAAGGGGCAGAGGTGGAGGGAGCTGTCACTACAACAGGGGCTCTGCTCCCTTCTGTCCTGAGTCCTCATCCTCCTCTGAGCCTCAATACATTTCGTCCCCTACCTCCAAGACCCCTGGTGCCTTTTCCCTCCCTGGGCTCCCAGGAGGCCTGGCTACACTGCTAACATCCTGCCCCCTCCCCTTGCTTTCGTATACAAACCTAAGCCACTCCCATCAGGCCCCTGCCTAGGGCAGCCTGAAAGGAACACACAAGAGTCCACCAGTGCCAATGCTAGGATCTCCCACTGGTCCAGTGCCTGACCCAGTCTTTCTCCAGAAGCAACCTGATATGCAAGCCTGCCCTCTCTGTAGGGTGGAGGAGAATGCTACTCCAGAGCAGAGGGACAGCTGAGAGGAGACAGGTGCTCCTGGAGCAGCACTTCTGTAAAGGACCGAGCTGTGACTCCTGGTCTCCAGGGACTACTCCCTCTGACCTTTCACTGCTTCCCCAGTCGCACACAGACCTCCAGTAGCATCCGGTGAAGAGTGCGCGCTGCTGACTCCTCCCAGGTACTCTGCACCTGCGAGGGAAGTGAGACCATTCCTTGCCTCCCATGCCAAGCCCTGAGTCTAGTCCGAGAACCAGCACGGATCCTAATTCTGCGACTCCATGGGCCAGAGGATCTCAAATGGGCTGTCCTTGCTGCAGCACACCCTCGGCCTGACCTGGGTGCTGGTGGAAGGCATTTTGGCAGCCCACCATCATCCTCCCACAACACAGACGAGGCTGTCTCCTCCATTTCTCTGGCTGACAGCATATGTGAGGATCACCGCCCTGGCCCTGGCTTGGATAGCAGCGAAGGGGCTGCCATTCTGAGTTCTCATGAGATCTGCCTTTCAGACCTAGCCCCTGGCCTAGCTTCCTATGCCCTCCTTGGAGACTGGGAGGAGACCCTGACCAAGTCACCTCTTAGAAGATCTTCGGGAGATGACACCAAGCAGGTCCCCTCTGTGGAGACCAAGGGCTGCCAGGATGGAGCGAAGGCACTGAGCTGCAGGCCTGCCTAGGACCAAGCTCAGTCTTAACACACAGTGTGTCCTATGGAGTGGGGTTTTAGTTTGGGACCTCCAAGACCCTCCACTTCGGAGGTGGGGGACTTTGAGTCTCCCCTCCCCCCAGGTGCTAAAGGTCATACAACAGCACATGAGCAGGAGCCAGTAGACTGGGTCTCCATGTGGTTCCCCAGGGTGATATGGCTTGGCCAAACCCTACATATCCACAAATGGCACATCCCAGATCTGAGGGCTCGAGGGGAAAACATAAGCACTCTACACTTCTCTCCTCAGACCTGGGATCCTTAGGCCTGGTCCCTTCCCCTGGGTGCTAATGTTAAGAACCATCCTCCACTCCTTTCCCAGACACATTAGCAAGAAGCTATATCAGAAATGGAACAACTGGGATTCGAATTAGCACATAAGAAATGTGTTACAAACTGTGGTTTAACCCACTGGGCCACAATGCCTTCAACTTCTGAGCACTTGGTATCTGTGGCCGCAGCGCTCCCCTGAATGCCAGGCATCCCTCAGCACACAGCACACAGTCAGTGTCAGAGAGGCCTGCCCATTCTTTGGTGTTCTGAACACCTCACTTGCCCAGTCCCAATGCTTTTGTCGGATGGAATCTCCTTGTGGTCCAAATGTGGGGCACAAATGCCGTGGTCCTGGCGAGGCCTTAGCTGTGCCCAGTTTGTGCTCTCAACCTGGCCCCTCCGAGGTACCTGACTTTAAGCCGCCACCCTCTCTCACCAAAGAGAAAAACTTTTGTGCAAATCCACCTGAAAGGCAACATTTTCTTCTTCCTTTGGCTGAACACGTTCCTCTCTGCTTGTCTTCCTCTGTCGACTTGAACCCTTGA